AGGCTGCTGATGAAGAGATTTCTGCTGTCAGCGCACCGCTGGTATGTGGGGTCTGAGCGCCTCCGACAGAAATAGATAATCTGGATGAACTGACTGCAATTATTAAGTTTTCAGGTGGACTTTCTCACTTAAAAACATATTAAAACTACTTTATTCCCACTGATCACAGCAAATATAGCTGCAAGATTTAGATTATTTAGATGAAAAACACCTGCAAGCAGCCGCGGTGAACGAAAGGATTTCTCCTGTCGGCGCACCGCTGGTATGTGGGGGTCTGAGCGCCTCCGACAGAAATAGATCATCTGGATGAACTGACTGCAATTATGAAGTTTTCAGGTGGACTTTCTCACTTAAAAACATATTAAAACTACTTTATTCCCACTGATCACAGCAAATATAGCTGCAAGATTTAGATTATTTAGATGAAAAAACACCTGCCAGCCACCGCGATGAAGAGGAGGAGACGCGCCGGGGATGCTGTTGAATTAAGTTTTCAGGGAGAAAAATACAGCGGGAGCAAAACTGAGTATGATTGTGCTTTATTCATGTATTTATTACAAAGTATTAATCAAACCCATCAAAGTCATCATCCTCTGTTTCTGAATAAAACAGCTGCGCTAAATCAGACATGCCAGTTTCCCATTCTTCGCTGTCAGTCACTTTCCGTGCAGCGCGGCTCCTCAGAAATAATGCCGGCTTTTGCGAAAGCTTGAACAACAGAGCCAGCAGACACTTTAGTCCAAGCATCTACAATCCATCCGCAAACTGTGGCGTAATCTGCCCGGCGCTGCCTTCTTATCCTGAAACTGTGGTCTCCGTCGGTCATCCATCGCTCCCACGCCGCTCGCAGCCTTACTTTGAACGGCCGCTTCACACCGATGTCGAGCGGTTGAAGCTCCTTTGTCAGACCCCCGGGATAACGGCGAGCACAGCGTTCATTTGATTCATCTTTTTTGCACATCGGCTGTGAGATGGGCACGCAGCGATGGTGATGCGTGGAAAAAACCACCTAGTCTTCTCACATACACCTGCCTCAGCCACGCATCCATCCAGCCTTTTCCATTTGCGTTAATATCATATGTCATCAGAGCGCTGTCTGTCTCGCTGGCAGCTCCCAGATCAGCTTCTCTGATTGGTTGATGCGGCGCGTCCAGCAGCAAAACTTCAATTTTTCCATCTCGAGCAGCAGAAGCGCGGCGCTTCAGATGCTTAAACGCTCCCGACGTGCTGCACCAAAATGCGCTGCGGGACCTTTTGCTGCACCTATATGCGCGTCAACCATTGACTTTGCATGTAAACTCGCTGCTTCTGCTGCACCTGCTGGGTCCGGTTCACACCGATGTCGAGCAGCGTTAATTTGTTTCCCCATGTTTTTCACATCAGCTGTGAGATGGGCACGCATGGAGTTACATATTAACAGCGATGGTGAGGGGTGGAAAAAAAACACCTGGTCTCCTTACATTCAGCCACTCTTTCATCATCTCCTCAATGAGGTGGTCTCAAAAGTCGCAGTTACAACACACATAAGGCGCACCGCACCATAGGGCGCACCGCACATTTTGAGGGAAAAAAAAGACGTTTAAGTGCGCCTTATAGTCGTGAAAATACGGTATATATATTTTTTTTTTTCTCAAATAGATCACATTGTGCATATGTATCTGTTTTTATCTGTTAAAACAGTTGGTGTATTTCAAAGATGAAGTTTTGAACGTTCTCAAAATAAGTTGAGAAAGTTGAAATGATTTTGCTCAACTTTGTTACAGCGCAATTTTTGAGACATTGAAGGGTTTTATTTAGTTAAAAAACACTTCTTTCACAAACATTTGGAATGTAAGGGTTGTTAAGGATATTTTACAAATTGAAATGCTTCACAAAATAGCTTTATATTATGTGAAATGTAAAAATATGGTATGGTAAATTTGTGCTATGGTAGGCCATGAAGGGACAAAGTTGGTCATTTTAGTGATTTTTTTTAAGTAGATACTTTTTTTTTTTTGCTGCAATATTTAATGAACTTGTTGACTTTTCTTTGTTAAACTTTTGAAAAGGTTGGATGGGGAACCACTGCATTAGTGTGTTTAGCAGCCATGCATTTAGATCTCCTTTTGCCATCAGTTGTTAATGATTAGTTTGTTAATAAAAATGTTTTATCTTTTTACTTAAGACTCATGTAACATTTGCTCGCTCTGTGTCATTTCAATTATATAAATGCAGGAAGAACGTGATATCGGCTATAAGAATCGGCCAAAAAATATCGGCAGCAAGTATCAGGGATCGGTTTGACTGATATCAAAATAATCAGTGTTTGCTTAAGTTTAAAAAAAAAACATGCATTGGTCCATCTCTAAATCAATTATTCCATTAGAATGCACTAGATTTTTGCTGTTAAAATAAGGCCCCGTCCACACGAAGTCAAAACGAACACGAAACGCTAATATTTTCCAGAACGTTTGTCGTAAAGACGTAGACGTAAAATAAATGTGATCGTCCACACGAATGCATGAAAATGCTGCAAAATGTATGCCAGGCCTGTAAGTGGCGCTGTGGTGCCAAAGCAAAAATAGGCGATGAAATGTTGGGCATGCGCACTAATATTTATACATGGTTGCCCTGCGGGTCCATTTTCGTGGTTCAGTCAAATTCAGGTGCTGAACTATGTCGTCGATATTGCTCTGTTCTTCCTGGAGATATTCCAGAAGAAGAAGATTCTGTTGTAAGCCCGACAGCAGGGTGAGTAGCATGAGCAGCAACCATTCAACACAGTACGGCGCAATTGTTGTTGTGATACTGCGTCACACATGCGTGTTTAGAGGCGACGCTATGACGCATGCGTGTAAAAGAAAAAAAGAAAAAATGCTGTTAGAGCTTAAAGATGGAAACGTGGAAACGGCGTTTCAAAATCTTCCCACTCCGAAGGCTGAATAAAAAAAAGATTGTTTACAGACCCCCGAAACGCCGGCTTCGTGTGGATGAGAGGCTGGTTTGGTGAAAAATTTGTGCGTTTAGGCCAGGGTTCGGCTTCGTGTGGACGGGGCCTAAATAGTACAACACTTTATAACGGGGAAGAACAAGGGGTTTAATCCTTCCTACCTTTTTTTTTTTTTTTTTTTGCCACTGACCTGTTTTCATGCCTGAAGGTTGAGCAAATTCCTAAAAGGGTTTTGGCAAAGCTGATCAACATATTGATTTATTAGAACTATCAGGAATAAACAGCCTGAGGTTTTCCATCATCTACAGTAAACTGAATCTGTGTGTGAAAGATGTTCCTGATTTAAGCTGAGTTTTTTGATAGTCAGGGTGGTCAAATTTGTCATGGGGATTTTGGGGTTAAACTTCAGAGTCCAGAGTCTGCTTGTGTTAGGCAGCACGAACTGGAACACACTTGTGGATGAATGCGCTTTTAACCGCCAGCTAATGTGGACTTTAGCCCTCCCTTCTGCTGCTAAGAGGGAAAAGTGCAGAAAAAGGCTGTGGAAACCAGATAGAGAACCCTCTGACCTATCCTTTAAAGCCTACCTTATAATATCAGCGTGAGACATACTACTAAGATATAAGGCCCAGGTGGATGAGGAATTTAAAATGTAAAGGGATTACTTCATTTTTATAGTTAACTTAATGCACATCTGTTGTCTCTTCTGTCTTTATTTGGTTAAAAATCAGACCTCGTTCCTGTGCTAAACTGGTGCTATTGTTTTAGGGATTATTGAAAAAAAATTGTAAACACATTTCGCAATCAAATAATCATTATCTGTGTTAAAGAGACTGTAAAAATGGCAGTAATTAAAATAAGATTTTATAATAAAAAAGCAGGAAGGAGAAGATTTAAGATGAAAAGCCTTAAGTTGCAAGATTATGCTACACCTGGTTCTAATTTTACCGAGAGTCACTTGTTAAGCACCTTTTGCTATTAGATTATTAATGTCTAAATTTAAGTAGTTATATGATTAATCATTTAGCAATAATAATAGTAGGTTGCAGCTCTCTAGTGTTTGCTTAGCTCTAGCTTTGTTTTCACAGAGATAACCACTGGAAAATAAAATCTATTATTATCTCTTGATTTGGCAGAGGAAAGAAAAGCTTTTGTCAGAAGCTAGAGACCAGTTTTGCCAAAATAGAGGTGGAAAACAGGATATTAGCGACCAAAATAGGGCAGTACAATCTATCCCAAATATAGGATCCTTCTAATGTTTCTTTGGAAACCATTATTACAAAGGACTGATATGTAATGATTGTCGGCAGATATGTTTCAGTGCAATATTCAAAGAGAAAGCTAGTTGGAGCATGGTATTATAGTGAATGGAGTTTTTTTTTTATATATATAATATAAACTTTTCTATGCCAATCTTCTATATGCTGTTGGTGTGGGTGAGACTAGACCTCAGACATAGAAACCAGCTTTGTTCCTTTCACTAAGAGAAAACCTCTAAAACTAACGCCATGGCCACATGCAGATACACAGAAACTGTGAAACTTGTTAGTTTCACAAACTCTTTTACTGTAGATAAATTACTGTAAACAGTAGAAGTGCAACAAGGCTTTTCAGGTATGACCCAAAATCTTTGTTGTGTGCACATCTATTTAGGGACTGTCATCATTAAGTATACGTCCCTCTTTGATTTCTTTAGCGGACACTTCAGTCAACGCCCAGATCAGTCTGGCCTGCCTCTATCTGCCCGTATGAACGGCCACTAATCCTCTTACATCCTTCCATCAATATCCTGACTCATTATTTCAGATTGGAAAGTTAAATGGCCAGAGAGTTAAACATTTTACTTCATGCTTTTTCTAAGGGGCTCAACCTTTATTTTTCTCATAATTTTAGCCGAGAAAAACAAACATCAAAGAGCAGATTAATTCCTAGATCTCTCAGGTAATTTTGAAGTTAGACAAGTCTTTGATATTTTGTAACTAACAAAACTCATGGAGGTTTATTAAGGATTCTATAAAATGTTTAGCACTTTATCATGAATGCCCGCCTTTCTCTCTGTGTTCCCCTGTAGGAGACAAAGATGGCAGCAAGGTAACAACAGTTGTGGCCACTCCAGGCCAAGGCCCAGACAGGCCACAGGAGGTCAGCTACACGGACACCAAGGTTATCGGCAACGGCTCCTTCGGTGTTGTCTATCAAGCAAAACTCTGCGACTCTGGGGAATTGGTGGCGATAAAGAAGGTCCTACAAGATAAGAGATTTAAGGTAAAGCATGCGTGAAAGCTGTGTACGTAAAAGCAGGATGTGCAAACATCCCCTCATATTGGTTAATATCAGCTCAGCTTTTATTTCCATCTTGCACAATGTAACAAACTCATGCATTCTCCATACTAATGGAAGGAAACGAGTAACAGTGAATGGACTGATCTTTTGCACGTGTGAGGAGATTAGAAAAGCTCCAAAACTAGAGAAAACAACCAAAACATTCCTTTCAAAGCAATCCCACTAATGTGTCCAAAGCAGTGTATTCTTTTGTTTTAGTTATGTCGTATTACAAGGTGAGTTTTTTTCCATAAACATGTTAAATATTATTTTTTTCAGAGATTGAGGCGCCTAGCAGAGCTCAGACTTGCTAAATTTTTTTCCTGGTAACCTAAGTGTGAGCTGGGGTTGCTACAATACTCAGATTTCAAACTTGTCATTGAACCCTCAGAATATTTCAGAATTAATACTATTTCCAATAACATGGAGACAAAAAAAAGAAAACCTAGGGTTTTTTTGTTTTTTTTTATTGCATGAAAAGCTCACCTTTTACAATCTCAGTATTAAAAATGCTGTCTATACAGAATCACAGATAGTATTTTAATGAGTGTACAAATAAACACAAAATATATAATCCAAATTTGCTGGAGAAGAATCTCAGTCATCCAGGTCATAGTCATTCCAAAAACTTTAAAAAAACAAACAAACCCCTAAGCAAGTTTGAAGACGTTTCGCTTCCCATCCAGGAAGCTTTTTCAATTCAAAATGTCTGGATTAGCAAAAAACATGCAAATTGAACCAAAGATCAGGACCACCCCTTAGTAATGGGGACTTATTGAGGTTGCCTGCAATACCTAAAACTGGCCCATGCCTATTAAAGGAATAGTACACCCAAAACATGACTAGCCTTCATTTTCTACTCACCCCCATGCTGAACAAAACTCTGGAGTACTTTTTTGATATCTCAAATGCATCTGGAGATCTGGGAGGCTTCTTGCTGTCTGCTGACATTCAAATAATGGAGGTCTATGGCGCCCGAGACAGAAAGGTCCACAAAAGTCCACAAAAAACGTGTCAATATTCCTCCATACTGCTCGTCCAATGTAATCCAAGTGTCCTGAGTGGGTAGCATCCAGAATTTACTCGAAACAAAGTCATTTAGAACATTTTAGAGCATAAACAGTAGTGTATAGGATTTCCTAATAGCGCCCCCATGCGCGCTCACGATTCTACGGAAACCGCGGCAGACCAAACCGGAAGAAAGTGCGCATTCAACGTCTGCTCTGCCGATAATGCAAGCGTAGAAGAAGAAATGTGCTGTTTACCCGTGC